TTATTCAGGCGAGGTAAGAAAGATGTGAGAGCTCGGAGAGCGTGCTCTCTACCTAGGCAAAGGTAAAATTGTCAATTGGCAACAAGAGAAGTTTTTGGTTAGATACGCAAGAAGCTCTTTTGGACCTTCTTGAGTAGCTGTAAGTGGTAAGAGTTTGTTGGTTTGAGTGGTTTTGTGGTTTTGGAGGAAGTTTGGCAGTTCAGCCGCGCGATGGACTGGTAGATGGTAGTCTTCCTGCAGTAGTGGATTTGACAGGAGGGGAGGGGAGGAAATTCAAGATTCCACTCTGGAGATAATCTGGGTGGGTAGGAGAGGTAGTAGTAGTCAGGAAAGACGAGGGAGGAGAGCGGCAGTCAAACAGACACAGACCACAGGCAAGGAAGTATAAGCCTGGCGTTTGGTGGGTTTGGCGGGTTGGAGGGGGGAGCTGTAACTGAGGAAACCATCTCAGACCAGGCGACAGGCGATGCGATGGGCCGTGGTGGTGGTTACCAAGGCGTCCGTCGGCGTCATGGGCTTTGTTGACGTCGTCTCCACAGCAACGGGCGACTTGCGCCTCAAGCTCCCCCAGGGAAGGTACTCTCTTTCCCGCACCTGCACGGCAGCGGCACCTTCCCCCCCTGCCTGTCCAGTGCGGCCTGCCCCCCCCTTGCACTTACATTGCTCTTGCCACCCAATCGTGTGCGCCATTGCTGCACCTTCTCAGCTGCGACGGCGCTACCAAGTACGTATCCGTACGTACCAACAGGAAAAGGCATGCGCTCCGATACGTACCCAAGCTGACCTCCCACGCTCCTTCTCTTCCAAGCTTACTATTTCTGTACTTCTGATACATTTTCTCCCACGTTTTCTCGCATCTCGATATAGCGCCATCACGTACCCTGAGGTACTCCATCGTGAGGATCCCGTCATTGCGGGTTCCTCCCAGATGGCCCATCAACCACGGCTACGGCCACGAGCAATCTTTAAAACATGTCGTTCAAAGACAAGGACCTCCTGGTTCTGCACCCTGCCGCACCTTGCGGTCGCATCGCATCGAGGCCAGGTTTTCTTCAAGTCAAGTCTGACTACTGAAGTCTGATGCCAGCTAGTTGCGTATGTAGCGTATCGAAATCTCGATTTTATTTATCTTTCAAGTTTCTGGACACCCATCCATCCGTAAGGTACGAATACCATGCCAACCTTGTCGAGGCGTAATCCCATAATTCCCATCCAGATATATCAACACGAGGCTCCAGAATACGCTTACACCGCAACAATGTCGTCGTGTCGTTCCTCGCTATACCTGACGCAAAGTGGGCACAGAAACAAACATCCCAGCCCAGATCAAAAAAATACTCCGTCTCCGCAGTCAAGAATCGAATCAAGGACGTGCGTGCTCCCTCCCGGACTCGTCCAACCAGCACCTCGATTTGATCACCGATCGCACAACCCCGGCAACCGGACTTCAAGCCCGACGTGTGGAGGACAGCCGATGGCCCGTCCATCCATCACCCAAGACTGCCATCGCCTGTAGTGCAGGCGCGCGACGTCTCACCTTCCCACCGGCTGCCAACCACGCGGTACCGACGATGCACAGCAGCAGCCGCCGTCGTGCGTTGGTGCAGCCACACTCGAGAGTCTATGTTTCACCCGCTGCTTGCCACCAAGACAGAATGTTTTCAAGAGACCACGCGGAAGTCTATCCTCATCTCCCTTTAGTAACTCCTTCCCGCCATCTTTTTCGATGAATCTCTTTCTGTCTTGTTTCCGTGATCATCCGGAGACTGTTGTGCAACTTGCTATACTTCTTACACAACACTTCTTGCCCACGGCTCTCAAGACAAGTGTCAGCAGAGCTGGATGCCGAACAAACCAGACAGCCTTAGTTGCCAGATAAGCTTCAGGGCTTCGAATACTTCATCTGTCAGAAACCAGTATCACATCGTCTCTTTAAGTCTACCGTCCAGCTGGCTCATTGTACGGGTGCGCCGAATATTGCAACAGTCTCATGCGCGTCGAAGCCAACTTGCCGGAACCTCTACGAATCAGCAGCAGCTTTGACAGGCGGCACGAACACATCTTCATGATTCGGTATCTGGGTTCACGTCAGTAATTCCGGCCGGCTTTCTCACCTCTGCCTAGCGAGGTCAACAGCCATGCTCCGTGGCTGCACTTTATGGCGAAGCAACCATGAAGCATCACGAACCGGCCGTTTCTGAGAATCTTGTCTGCCTTTTATACACGCGCTACATGAGGTCCCTGACCATCGGCATTTGTATTCATCAGCCTTACAAGAGAGGCAAAAGTGAGCTCTAGCGTTGCGGAAAAGAGAATGGAGAAGCCGGCGTTATCAGCGAGCGGCGAAGGACTTGATCGAAGTCAGGCACAGCTACCAGCACTCAAGATGCTACCTTCGAGACTTTTAATAGATTTCTGGGATGCATGTACAATTGCTTCTTCCAGCGCGTCACATCCCGCGCGACCCTTGTAGCAGTCTCCGCAGCCATTCGAGATGACGAAGCATGATAGATGGAGCTGCTTTGATATCGCTTTTGAGAGGCGTACCTGGCCTGGAAGCTCTGGGCTCCAGTCTGAATTATATCAGGTGCCAGCTATACGGATCCTGTTCGATTGGCCATCATCCAGTAACTGTTCAATAGTTCGAAGCGGTTCACCGGGAGAGGCTTTGATGTTTTGCGGTGAACGATTGTGAGTAACCTCGTGCGAGACCACCAAGTGACTCTTGGTAAATTCTTCCTCTCGTAGCCCATCAGCAGTAAGCTGAACTGAAATTGCCCCGCGTATCATCGCTGCTCCTACTTCTCAGATTCACAAATTGCAAAGACCGTCAGGGCAGTTTTTGAGATCCGTTACTAAGGTGCATTGACAATGAGGTCTCATGATAGGTGATCGAGTGATCGTGTCTCCAGTGTGATCGAAAGCAACTCGCACAAGAGGAACGTAGGCTTCCGCGCCACGAACCGAGCAGCAAAAAGAAAACATGCCCGTGAAGTGCTCTCATGGGATCATGAATAATCCATGGCACTCGCTGGTCGATCTACCGCTATGCTTGCTACCTACTTGCACGGCCTACGTATGCTGCTTTCATCACCTCCAACCGTTTTCAGCCTCCTTAAGAATGTATCTTGAAGCTTCTGCAGTCCTGTTGTAGCCCATGCACTGGTCGCTATGATTTCATACAGTGAGGGAGGACTTTCTCTTGAGCACTCATTCAAATCGTGAAGCTTACGCCTCGATGTCTTGAAGAAGGGACTCACTGGAACGTTCTTCTCTCTGTACTGCTGGTCACCTCCGTCCAGGTTCTGGCATTGACACTGAACCAACGGAGATCTGTTTAGGATATATACAACCTTCGCCAAAATCAGGATGATGGACATGTGCAGCTGGACTTGCGTAGGCTCATTAAGGGGTTGTCAGGAACTTGAAGCCTTACTACTACTGCACCAAAGCAAAGGCGTGGGGTCATGCTGGAGCTGCTTCGAGATCGTCGCGAAGCGCTATTTATCATATGCAGAGCAAATTATCTAACGATCCCAAGGCCATCTGCCTTATGATCACATGATGCAAGCTTTGCCCTGGCCATCATCAAAAGTCAGGGATGCAGTTCACGTAGTAAGCTCATGATCGGAGCCGAGGGAAGTCCGGGGCCGAACAAGGCCTTACCACCTACGGAGTACACAGTAAAGGTTTAAACAGCTTTAAACAGCATGAGTTTAGCACTTCCAATGAGCCTCGGGACTAGACCAGCAAAATTTCGGATCCGATCAATCGATGCCTCACTGCCCTGATAGGAGGTGGCACTGGCGAATTAGCGAAGGTCAGGCGATATTTGACTCTCAGGTGAGGCTAAAAAAGGGGGCACGGCAAAGACCCGCCATCTTGGGTCAGGTCCATGTAGGCAGTAGGCTCGGGCATTGTTGCACAATGTTGGAGAAGCTGGGGAACATTGTTGGTTTCGAGGAGGAATTCGGAAGGGCGGGGAGTGAGTGGTGTAAGAATCGGTCGATAATGATGTGGTTGTTTAAACTTGAGCTGTGTAATCCAGCTCCGACCACTGGGCGCGCTTGGTGTGGTGCGAAAGAAGAGGCAAAAGGCACAGCTTGAGCAATGGGAGGAAACAGCGCTGCAGAGATCAGATGACATGCACCTTTGGACTCGACAGGGTTCAGCTGTCTTAATCGAGGCTGCTATTCACCGCTGCCCGGTGGGTTCATGCAAGGGCAGAGTCGGGACGTTTCCACCGAATCTTTCTGCAGGCTTTGATGACAATTGAGTTTCTGTGAGCTGACAGCATCGGATGAGAGGTTATGAATAAAACATAATGAGAGGTTTCTTTTGGTCTGTCGGTATCATACACGTGTACTTGATGAATTTCAATCATGGTATAAAACTTACAGCTGTCAGATGAAATGGCGGAGTGAGGTCACCGAGGAGTTTTGGTCAGACGGCCTCGGGAGCTTCAGGGACCGACCAAGTGGGCTTTGGAGACCCATATAGGTGAGATACGACACGTGATTGAGCAAAACAAGGTGAACTGGAGCTAACGAGATTTGAAGGCGACGGTCGGCGACGTCGCGGGTGCCGGTTCTGGCCCGTGCGTCGTCCTCCCCTGTCACCGCGACAACCAGGGTCTTTTTTTTTTTTTTTTTTTTCGTCTCTTGCTGTCCAGTCGATGCAATGTTTCTTGCCATTTCTTCAGAGAGCTCACAGCGGTGAGATTGGCTGGAAACAAATTGCAGCGTACAGCAGCTACAGATGCAGTAGCAGATGGAACCAAAGTATCGGACCCGATCAAGATACGGAGTAGACAGGAAGGGGGAGGATTGTGCGGCCCCATGACCACATCATACCTGCTCCATTTAGGTTGACGATTGCTGTAAATGACTGGATCGAGACAGCTACTGGACCAGTGAACGTGGATCTTGGGACCTGGAAATAACTAACCCGGCCCCGACCCCAACCGGTTTCCTCCCATCTCCCGTCAATAATATCTTTGGCTTAAGCTTCTGAAAGGATCCAATTCCAGCTTTCTGCAACGGCTGATTATCACCTATCGTGTCTATCTACCTGACGGATATCCCTCAACCAGGTTGCAAGGCTGCAAGAGACAGACAGGCCAGACCAGTAGACGCCAGGCCACATTGGATACCCATCTGTTGTCATTTGGTCCCTCTTTGTTGGCCCTCCCTTTGTCCATCTCTCTCACACTCTCTTCATCCATCTCACTTCACCCTGTTTCGAAACCTTTTTCCATCCCACGTCTCGTCTCTTCCTGCAGAACTCGGAGCTGCGACAATTTGTCTTTCGCCCCGTTATTGACCCCCGACTGCCGGCTCGCACGCTCGCACGCGTCGCCCTCGGCACCCACCCCAGCAGCTCTCCGCTCCCCCAAAAGCCAAAAGCGCAGGCCGAACGAAAAAAAATAGCCACACCACGCATCAACACCTCCCATTAATCGCAATCTGACAAGTTCATGCAATGTCAGGCAACACCCTTAGAGGCACGCCCAATCGCGGCCAGGCCCGTGGAGGCATCCCCTTCACCCAGAGCCCCTCTGTCACAGGCTCTGCACCTCCCGCCGCCGTATCCTCTGGCATTCCGCGCCCTGTCCTAGAAACCCAGGCTACCCAGAGCGAAGTTGGCGGCGGCGGCGGTGGTGGATCAGGAGTCAGTGCCAGTCGTCAGAAGCAGACCAAGAGAGATGAGGTATGATGCCCTTTTTATTTTATTTCTTCTGATAGTACCCCACGATCACGACTTATTGCCTCTTTCTGCTCCTTTGCCTTTGGAGGAAAGATACGCAGACTGCTTGTCCATCTTCTGTTGTTGTTGTCGTCGTCGTCGCGTCTCCAGTCTCGTTGGCAATCCGATCGTGTCTACTACAATCGGACCTCCAGAAGCTGCTGCTACCTCCAAATGGCCAGACTCACCTACGGCGAGCTCGAAAGAGCCAGACTGCTCGACACAATGGATACTGACTACTACGTCAAGGCAATTCGCAAGAAGATGGAGAGCGATCTCTCCAAGAAGAAGCACCTCACGAGCCGAGCCCGTCACTCCCGCAAGGCCCCTCCGGGCACCGTCCTCGCCCTCAAGCCCAGTCAAGCCCTGCAGATCAAGCCCGCCACCACCGTCGCCGAGGCCGCTCAGCTCATGGCCGCCAAGCGTGAGGACTGCGTCCTCGTTACCGACGACGACGACCGCATCGCCGGTATCTTCACCGCCAAGGATCTCGCCTTCCGTGTCGTCGGCGCCGGCCAGAAGCCCAACCACATCACCATTGCCGAGATCATGACCAAGAACCCCCTCTGCGCCCGCACCGATACCAGCGCCACCGACGCCCTCGATCTCATGGTCCGCAAGGGTTTCCGTCACTTGCCCGTCATGGACGAGAACCAAGACATCTCGGGTATTCTCGATATTACAAAGTGTTTCTACGATGCTATGGAGAAGCTGGAGCGTGCCTACTCGTCCTCGAGACGTCTGTACGATGCCCTCGAGGGCGTGCAGTCCGAGCTCGGCACGAGCCAGCCGCAACAGATTATCCAGTACGTCGAGGCTCTGCGTTCCAAGATGTCGGGCCCGACTCTCGAGTCGGTCCTCGACGGACGACCCCCAACGACGGTCAGCGTAAGAACCTCGGTCAAAGAGGCCGCGCAGATGATGAAGGAGAACCGAACCACGGCCGTCCTGGTGCAAGACCAGGGTGCCATTACTGGTATCTTTACCAGCAAGGACGTCGTCCTCCGTGTCATTGCCCCTGGTCTCGACCCCGCGACCTGCAGCGTTGTCCGCGTCATGACGCCTCACCCGGACTTTGCTCCCATGGAAATGAGCATCCAGGCTGCCCTCCGCAAGATGCATGGTAAGATTTCTGTACGAATAGAATGGACTTAGCACCAGCTAATTTACCATACAGATGGCCACTACCTCAACCTCCCCGTCATGAACGAGGGCGGCGAAATCGTCGGCATGGTCGACGTTCTCAAGCTCACCTACGCTACCCTCGAGCAAATCAACACCATGTCTACCTCGGACAGTGAAGGACCCGCGTGGAACAAGTTCTGGCTCTCGCTCGACGACGGCACCGAATCCATGATGTCCGGCGAGGGCAGCCACACCCACCACACAAATCTGGGCTCGCGCATCATGTCTCCCGACATCACCCGGGAGCGCATCGGCGATAGCGTGGCTCCCGGTGACTCTGCCTCCCACGTTGGCTTGGAGTCACCACCTCGTTCCGCCGTCACCGGCAACAGCCCAGCTCAGCAGTCTCCTGCCGAGCTGCCCTTCCCCTTCAAGTTCAAGGCCCCGTCCGGCCGTGTTCACCGCCTGCAGGTCATTGCATCCCAGGGTATCTCAGCGATGGTGGCCAACGTTGTTGCCAAGCTGGGAAGCGAAGTCGAGTCCATTGGCGGTGCTCCCGTGGCCGAAGAAGGCAAGATCTCGGGCGGTTTCGCGCTCAGCTACCTCGACGATGAGGGTGATTCTGTCTCCATCACGACGGACAACGATCTGCTCGAGTCCATTCTCCTCGCCCGCCAGAGCCGCCATGAAAAGGTCGACCTGTTCGTTCACGACCCCGAGAAGCCCCCCGTTTCCGCCGCACCCCCCACCATTGAGACCATTGCGCTCCCCACCCCTCCCATCTCTGCCACGCCCGACCTTCGCCGGAGAAGAGCATACGACGACGAGGACGACGAGGCGGAGGATGAGGACGAGGATGGGTCTACCATCCGGAGGTCGCGTCGCTCGAAACACCACGCACCCGCGGAGAAGGAGGTCATTGCTGGTGTTCCCAACGAGCTGCTGCTCCCTGGTGCCATTGTGACGCTGGCGGTTGTCATTGTCGGTGTTTTCACGATCTCGCGCCTGACCAGTAGTAGGTAAGGGATGCGCTATAGAGAGAGAGAAAGCTAGAGACAGGAAAGAGGAGGATCTCAATCACGACTTTACGAGAGTCCTTGGCGAAGCATTGTAAATATGTATCGAGTATTATTGTCTTTACTAGACTTGAGTACCCCGACGTTAAATTAATACACCGCACATCCGTTCTATCAATTTATTGAAAATGTGAACCATTGGACTATGTTGGTAGCTTTGAGGAGTATAATTGCACTCATCGTTCTTGGTATTACAGTCAATTGAGTGCTTACCTAACATGTGGGGCGTATCGGCAGGGGCGTTGCGGAGACTTCCGTCCAGCTTCCCCGAGAGCTCCAAAAATTGTTCTTGGGAAACTGCAGCAGCGTAACGACTCCTGAGCACCCAACGCCGCCCGCCAAAACGCCATGATTGTCAGAAGCATAGTCAGCCGGCATGGTACGTGAAACCTTTGAAGGCTTTCAATCCAATTGACGAACTCAAGCTAATACTGACTTCTCCGTACAGGCAGCAAAGCCCTGCTGGCACCAGCAGTCGCCCGATCATGCCACCGCGCCGGCATCACGACCGACGCCCTCGTCGGCGCCATGACGCCCGAGACCTTTGCAGACCTGACCACTTCCGCGGCCCTCGGCCAGATCCCCCAGGTCGCTCCGCAGCACGACCCTGATGTCGCAGCCAAGCGCGTCGAGGCGATCGAGGCCCGCTCCAAGACGGTGCCCAACGCCTACAACCGCTTCCGCCGGCAGCAGAACCTCAACGCCCGCGTCGGCGCCGCCGTCGGACGGCCGTACGTGCCCTCGCAGCTCATCGAGAACCCGCCTCACCCGAAGGATATCAGCTTGGAGCTGCTGATGGCGAGTCAGACGCACATGGGACACCACACGTCCCGCTGGAACCCGGCCAATGCCAAGTACATTTACGGCGTGAGGCAGGGGATCCACATCATATCCCTCGAGACGACGGCTGCGTACCTCCGTCGCGCGGCGCGCGTGGTGGAAGAGGTGGCGTACCGCGGCGGACTGATCTTGTTCGCGGGCACGCGCAAGGGACAGATGGACATCGTGACGGGGGCGGCGAAGCTCGCGGGCGGGTGTCACCTGTTCACCAAGTGGACGCCCGGCAACATCACGAACCGCGACGTGATTAACCAGGGCAAGGAGGTGCGGATCGTGGACGAGAAGGATATCACGCTGCAGGGGTTCGAGAGGCTGCAGAGGACGGGAAGGCCGCTGGTTCCCGATTTGATTGTGTGTTTGAACCCGAGGGAGAACTATACCATGCTGTACGAGTGTGGGTTGGCGAACGTGCCGACGATTGGGATTATTGATACGGATGCGAACCCGGATTGGGTTACGTATGCCATTCCTGCCAACGATGACAGGTTAGTATTTTTCCACCCTTCTTCCCCTTCTCTCACGCCGAACTTCACACCCAGCCCCCCAACTACCTCTCTATCTATGCCCCGTTGACTAACAATGTCGTGAACAGCTACCGATCCGTCGCCGTCATCGCGGGCGTCCTCGGACGCGCGGGCGAGGCGGGCCAGAAGCGCCGTCTCGCGGCCGCGGAGAACGGCGAGTCGGAGTGGACCACCCCGCTGGAGACGCAACGATTCATGAAGGCCCAGGAAATCGCGTGGGGGAAGGAAATAAAGAAGTGGCAGTCGACGGCCTCGCACGCGGCGCACAATCCGGGGGAGGGCGAGGAGGCGAGGTTGCTTGAGATGTTGCAGGTTGATCGGAGCAAGGCTGTTGATGGTGAGCTTTGAAGTTTTTTCGGTAGGCGGTTGGGGTGAAGTGAGTGATGAGGGTTCGGGAGATGGAGATGGGGAAAGAGAGAGAAGATGAAGGAGGAGGAGGGTCCTTTCCTGGGACTTTGTACTAGACTACCTACCAATGTATGAACATGTACCAGTATTTCTATAGAGATTCGCCCTGTGCTGCTGTCGACGGGCGTTTGTCACTATTTCCTCTTGTATGTGTGTGAGATTGGGAGTGATGAGTTCTTGGATGCAGGCATACGATTCTCGCCCATCTCGTCCCTCAGTAAAACTATCTACCAGTTCAATCCTACAACACAGTTCGTGTGATATCACCGCCGATGCTTGACCTCGACTTTATCCCGGTTGATTTTCAGATCTATACATTTACTCAAGGCTATCAGCGCCGACTAGACTCTACTGGATCTTAGCTGGATCGTTCATACCTAGTGAGCGTGGTCGCTGGACCGAGCCTGGGCCCTCTCTCTCAGTTGGGGCATTGACCATACGTGTTACATGTAGATGGGCAGGTACTCGGTGAAGCTCTTCATATGAGACGAACAGTATATCATCTCTACTCTATACGTGTCAACGAAGAAATGAAACTAGCTTAATTGTGTGTTTGTTTTTTAGTTTGGCTTGGCTTTGTGTGGCGGAAGTGGGTAGATGGGGTTGAGTGGTTTATATCTGTTGCTAGGGACACGGATGTGCGGTGACCTGATCATTCCCCCCTTTGCTCTTTTTGCTCTGACGGCTACGTGTACTCTCTTTTCATTCGTACGAAAAGCTGTCGTGTCAGAATGTGGCCCAATGCCCAACATGAATACTATCATCTACGTGGTGAAGGGATCTTTGGTGTGCGAGTTCTGTTTGCTCAGTGGAAAGGTTTACTGCGATGAATGTACTGAGACAACAGTGAGGCGATTTTCTTGAATACATGTAAATGTTCCAAGATGGCAGGCAAGAAAGTGATCTCGTCATCCAGTCTTTGGGGAATGTTCACGACATAGACCACAAGTCTCATCAAGTAGTACCCCAGGAGCAAATACAAAGTAAATGAATTCTTTGAATGATATCGAAAAAGTTGGTATCTCAAAAACGCTAAGAAATGTGGTATCAAGTCTAAAGTTGTCCCCCGTCCCTAGCAACCAAACCATTGTGGTTGAAATCGTCGAAAGAAGAATAAAAAGGATCATAATCATACGCTTTGTCGGCCAAAAGTAAACGGCCCAAGTAGAAGTCTCTCCTCTCTGCCATCACATTTCCCTTTCCCTCCTGGGCTCCGTTGTCCACCACCTTATCCCCAGATGGGCTCATCGCGAGGAATCTCAGGCATGGCCCGCGGTACGGGCAGGGGCTTGGGAACGTCGACGTCCCTCTTCTCGGCGGGCTTCTTGCCGCACACATTTGCGTTGTTGCGCGCGGGGTCGGTGTTGCAGATGAGGCCGCCGCAGCAGGGCTTGTCTACTTCCGTGGTGCTTGTGAAGCAGAGACCTGAAAGGGGGATTTTGTTAGTGAATGCGAATAAGTATGGGTTGAGGTGAGGGTAATTGTGTGGAGTGTGTGTGAAAGGTAGAGAAGAACTAACCTCCTTCTGCGATGCATTGTCTCTTGATGAGGCCTGCGTCGACGCTGATTGCGGACGCGGCGCTGATGAGGGTAACGAGGGTGAGGAGTGAGAACTTCATCTTGACTGATTTTTGTGTTGAGTATGTGGTGTTTAAAGGTTTATGAGTTGAATTTGTGTGTCGTACGTATATCGCTTGTGTGTAAGATGGACCGGTCGTAAATGTGCTGTATTGGTTGTGTTGGATGTGTGTAGAGAGCGTGTGTCTGTATGTATGAGTGAGCACTTTTGTGTATATGCGACGTGTCGAATTCTGAAAAGATTTTGTGAGAGCGAATGTTGTCGATAAAAGAGAGGCTAGCTGTGTGCTGTCACAGAGATGGACGGAGAGACCAAGCTGATAAGTTTAATGACACTATCGAAAGAATAGGAGGCGCCACGGGAAATTTCGTGGATGTCAATAGCGCTATATAACCTTAGTCCAACCTTCTTTGATTGATTACCACCCCAATCAAATTATCAACGACCACACCCTCACCCCTACCTGCCGGGCTCCGGGCCAACACCCTCCCTTGACTCGAAGAGAATAAAAGTCGCAATCGGGAAACAAAGTGCTGGCCTCGACCGATCGAGGCTGTGTAGGCGGTCCCGCGCCAATCTGCATCAATTCTACACACCCCACCCCCAATCGTGACGAAGTTCGACACCCTTCAGATCTCTGGGCGGCCTGGGCTTCTGAGCCTTCTGTGGTGTGAAGTGTCCGTCAGATGAGCCAAGCGCGGTGACCAGACGACCAGACGTACGCGTACGCTGCCGTTTGGCACGGCGTCGCAAGTTTCGGCAGGAGGAAAGTCACAGGGTTACGCCCGTCTCACGGTCCGGTTCCCGAGTTCGTCGCAATAATGTGTGCCAGAGTACGGTAGTGGTTATCACCCCTTCCATCTCGCTCCTTGCTTCACCCCCCGCGGGCGCGGAGTTTTGGAAGGGGTGGGAGTGACCGTCTAGACGGTACGCCGGTGTGCCGGTACCTTAACCTTGGGCACACCAGGAGGGAAAAAAAAAGGAACGCCTAGGTAGTGTAGTCACCGAGAAAAGGAAAGAAGAATAAGTGCTGCTGGGAACAGAGTTCAAGGCAACCCCGGGCTGCGAGAGCCTGCGAGGGATTCTTGGAAAGGGACAGGTTTACGGGACAGAACATGCGCAGTTTCAGAACTTCCGATGTAATGGAGCGGCCAATCGGGTGGCCGCGGGGTTCTGCTTTTTTCGAAAGAAAAGAAGGTTTCTAAATATATATGAAATCTGGGTGCCGTCTGGAGTTGGTGAAGTTGGGATGATGAGGTGGCCTCCTCCCTGGCAAGACTGACATCCGTACTCCGTACACCGAAGCTGTGCGGTAAAAGAAGGGCAACTCGATAGAGTGCAAGCACGGTTCTGTGAGCCAACGGCAGGGCTGTTGAGCATAGGCATGGGCAAAGACGTTGCTTAACGGGGATTATGCTCGCCAGCCCTGCCGAACAGGCCGGCATGCCATCTCGCGGGGGATACTGTGTACCCAATCACGTCGTGTGTAATACGTCTTTGCTTTTCGAACAGATTGAGTCTGTGAATTGTAATTGAGAGAGAGGTCCCACTTTGATCTCCGCGCCCACGAGGCCAGATAGATGGATGATGGACATGGCAGGGCAGAGCATGAGAGAGAAGCACGAACCGCGACGGGATGGTCCATAAATTCGTGAGCATTATCGGTCCTGCCGACCAGATACCGGAGGACACACAACCCGCCGCCCGCTGAGGGAGGCTGTAATTGTATCGTCGGTCGCTTTCCTGGCCCCGTTCTTCTTCTCTCGGTGTCTGCAGATCCGTTGGCTTTGAGTGAGGGATCCGAACGCTGTGAGACTTCAACACCCTCTTCTAACCCGTTGCCTTTGCTGTCAACCCAACATTAACAATCCAAAAACACCCCCCCAAGACCTTGGGTAGCACGCAAGACGAGATAGAAACGGAGTCAAAGCAAATGCAATCCGAACAGGTTTCAACTTTTCAAGCGCTGGGTTTTTTTAGAGTTTGGATCCTTACGTATACCAGAGGGAATCCGAAAATTAGGTCTTGGCAGCCCCCTGTCTTTTTCGCGTTTCCAGGATCCCGTCAGAAAGATGAGACGGAAGCATGTTCGCCCCGGCCGTTGTCGCCGGCTGGTTCAGTGCATTGTTCAGTTGCACGACACACACACCCCCACGAATCGTGGAAGCCTCGTGCTTGGGCTGGAGCTTGACTCAAGGAGAAGCAAAAACTTGAGGCGGCATGTTTGCAGAGCGCGGAAGTACATACTTCAGAGTACCCACGGATACTAGCGGCACCAAAGAACTTCAAATCTTCCATGAAAAAGAGAAGAATTGCAAGAACTCTCTGCCCGTGGTTACGATTAATGGCCGCGTCATTTTAACCGCTTTAATTGAAGCTAAGGTAGCTCTTAGATTTGGCCGAGAAAAGAGTTTTTGAGATTACGGTACTAGGCACGGCATTAGTGCGCCCCGCTCATCCCGGACGGAAGCGACGCCCCGAATGACCGGCCCGGGCTGTGTGCCCCACACTATCTGCCATCCGCTCCGGCGCTCGGCTCCATGCCCCTAAGTAACATGAAATGGCATAGAAGAGATCGGGAAAGGACAACGCGAATAAGGTAGGTAGGTACATAATTGAGAAATCATTCACGAGACTGATGTTTTCTATCCTAGCTCTGTCGGCCTCGATGACCCGTTGCAATGAGACTCAGCTTTCGAGGGAAAGTCACACACTGTGATTTAAGCGCAACCTAGTGTCAAAGTACTAAGCCAGGACATGCTCCTCATGAAAGCATCTAAGTAAGTAAAGTCTGAATTGCTGACATGTCCGCTTGCCATGTTAGTAAGTTGTGCAAAGTCTATCAAGTAAATGAAATGGAATAGAAAAAAAGGACAGATCCGCCTCCGCCGCCTCCGCCCTCAACCATGGTATTCAAGACGCCAAATATACACCACGCCACACCACCAGACCGCTCTCCTCTCATTCATTGAGATCACCCATTGATAAACTCTATAGAATAGACATCCTTCTCCCTCCCGTCCTTCTCCCCCATAACCGCATCCGCGTCTCCATCTACGCCCACCCCAACCCCAACATCATCGTCATCCCCCTGCTCAATCAACATATCCAGATCCCGATCCACAGCAGCCGCCTCCTCCGCCGACACCCCCATCTCACCCAACCCCTCTACCCCTTCTTCGGCCTCCGTCGCGTTGAGCAACGCCTGGAAATCGGTGTGGTGAGGGTGGTAAGGGTTATACGGGTTCTCGTGATGATGGTGATGATGGAGATCGTGATGTGACGTCGGCCCCGGCGGCTGTAGCCCGCCAATGATCTGCGGATCAATCGGCTGGAAGGACTCGTCTTGTAGCATAGGGTTATGGTGCGGGTGCCGTGGTAAGGGCGAGGCCGAAGGGTCACGGAGGGTGTGAGAGGGTGGTAAGGAGGTGACTTCGGCGTAGGGTGATGATCTTGGCGGTGATAGGGGCGGGAGGTGGTGGTGATGATGTGGATGTTGGTGTTGAAGCGAAAGAACATGGTCTGCGGTGCTAAGAACTGTCGAGGTAGGCCCTGGTGATAGCGGCTGCGGCGGCGGTGATGTTGAATGAGTGTGATGAAATGAAGTATTTGTGAGGGGATTCACAACCGATACAGGCGGAGCAGAAGAAGTAGTAGAAGCAGCAGTAGCAGCAGCTGCCAAAGCCGCCGCCGACCTCCCCTTGGCACCACTCCCGTTCCCACCCCCCGGCGCAGGCGTCTTGCCGAGCTCCTTACACTCCGTACAGTTCCGAATCACGTCGCTCGCCGTCTCCTTGATGCGGCTCCAGTGGTACTTCTCCGCAATCGTCGCCGTCGTCTTGTTGATCCCGCCGTGGCCGGCGGCGTGCACCTCGCGCGCAATCTCGTACTGCCTCCTCGGATCCGGCACGACCTCCTTGTCCTTGAGCATCAGCCGCTCGCCCCCGCCGCCGGCCTCCCCCTCGCCCACCAGCTTATAGTGCGTCGCCGCGCTCCGGAGCCTGCTTTTCTCGGCGCGGTCAGCACCCGCCGGATACCGTCCATATTTCAAATAAAACTTGATCTTGTCGAAACGCTCTTCACTCACGAGGTCCTCCGACTCTGCGCCGTTGCTGCCGGGTACGGGCAGGTCCCGCCCGTAGATGATGGCGTCGATGAGGGTGCCCGGGTACGAGGCGAGGTTGCCGCACCCCTTTACGCGGCCGATGCGCTTGAAGCCGAGGGCGTCCCAGATCTTGCACGAGGCCACGTTGGTCTCGTAGACGAGGTTGAAGACGGAGTAGGTGTAGCCCAGCTTGGGCGCCCAGTCGATGTAGCACTCGCCCATGAGGCGGCCCACGCCGCGGTTGCGCGAGGCGTCGGTGACGAGGAAGCCCGCGTTGCACACGTGGCTGCTGCGGCCCGGGTAGTTCGGCTTGATGTAGAAGCTGCCGAGGCACTCGCGGGACCAGTCCATGTCGTCGTTGAGCTCGGCGTGCGGCTGCTCGATGTTGCCCAGCATCATGACGGCGCCAAAGTTCTGGAACCAGTAGGCGCCGAATTGTTCGGCCGTCATGGTCTCCATCATCGGGTAGGTGTCGCCGCCCTCGATTTCCTTGTTGAGCTGGTCGCTTAGGTAGCGCACCAGGGAGGGAGGGACCTCGTGCCGCGAGGCAAAGGGGATGATGGTGGCGACGGTCTGGCGATCGCGGAGCGTCACTTGACGCGGGGTGATGTCGGCCGGCAAGGAGGGGTTCATCGGGTCCGGGTACGGCGTTACCCCGGACACCCGGTAGATGGTGGGGCTCGCCGGGTCATCTAGCATGGCCGGCATTTTCGGGGTAGTTTACTGACTCGGCGGGGGGCGGATCGGCACCGCAGGGGCCCTTCTGCCAATCCAAAGCTCCTTGTAGAGGGGCAGGTGCTCCGTAGTGTGTAGTGAGCAGCGCCTGTTGGCCGTTTGCGACGGACTGAAATTCCCGGTACTGACTTTTATGATACCAAAAAGTCAAGAGTTAGTCAACATTTCACACATGTATAGCAGTAGGGAAAGCAGCGGTTGATAAGAAAATACGCGCATATCCCAAGATCATGTCTGGCCCTGCATGAGCAGACTCCCCTCTTCCGTCCCCTCCCTTCATGATATCCGATATCTAAGACGGAGCTAATGGAGGGGGGATTTGGAACAAGAGAGAAAATGCAGGTTGAATTTGTAAGGAAAGGCTGCAAGTAAGCCTACCGAAAATCTGATCTGACTCTGCTCAATGCTGACTGACTTTCCCGCACTACTGAGTCAGAGTAAGAAAAGCAAGACAACCCCTCCGGCCAAACTGCCGATTTGGCGCAAAAAGCGTAGTCAAGCAAAACGAAAAAACGGCGTGCGTGGTGGTACGGATGCACTGGTGGCTTTTGCGCTGCACTTTGGTGTACGATCGGATAAGGTAATGAACCGCCTTGCCGTTTCAGCTTTTGTGATGACACCACAGCTGGCTAGCATGCACGAATGCCTGACCTTGGCGGGGTGTGTGGAATCGGGAGGGAGCTGCTGCTGCTGTCCTGTGCTGTGCTGTTGCTCGAACGTGCTGAAATGTTCGTTGGTGATGTGTTTCCTGGACCTGAGGCCTGAGGGGTGGAGGGGTTAAAGGAGGGAGGGGAAATGCGCAGGTTGCGAAGTTTTCAAACCCGGACTTTGGGACTTGGGGAAAATGTAAAGTTATGTAATGGAGATTGAGCCATATTATGCGCCACATTGTGGCTGAACCTTACATTGTCTCTCTGGCAGTGTTGCTATTCATCTCCGAGAAGAAACATTACAATAGTATGACAAAAAGTAAGGATCGAAACAGTACTCAAATAATTGTAATTAAGTGCGGTCTTACAACTATACCTATCATGCACTCAGTTGTCTCAATACAGAGATTCTTAGATGCGTTGTATCAGTCCAAAGGTAACTCACGTGAATCCACTCTAAGGCATCACCTTGATGATGTTTGAAATCTGACGAAAATTCCATATTTTCTAGCGGTTAGCGAGCTCAGAAGATCAGACCACAGAAGATCAGAAGAGACAGCAAAGAGCTATGGCTACAATCAAGTGAGTAAGGCGATACCCGTTTGAGAATGCCACCCCAACCACGGAAAGGAGCTTGGTGGCGCAACAAGCTCGGCTTTCAACAACACTATCTTTAACCATCGTTGGCTTCAAAGTCTTCTGTGTTGTTGAAATCGCTTGAAAATACCAAACATATACACTCTATCTAGGTTTTCTACAGTCTATTGGATATCATACAGAATCTCACTCTCAAACGCCAGTCAAGAGCCACACACATCGAAGCTGTTAGATTTCATCCGCATATGCCAATCTGTCATCGACGACATCAGAGACGGATCAACATTCCTATTCGCCTTGATGAAGACAGTCTCATAGGGGTGAATGTTGCTCCCGAAATACTTCTTGTCCCACAACAAGTCACCGGAATCCGGGTGAGCCTTGCAGTACTCTTCGACTCCTTGTTCGGAATGCAGAGCGGTCATCATGGCGTCGACTTTGTAGCCGGCGTTCATGATCAGGCCCGTCGTTCCGACCTCGGCATGGACCGCGGCGTTCCAGTCCGCATAACACCCGCTGAGACCGACGGGAGCGTCTTTGCTTCCGAAGCGGTCGTCTTCAGACGCGCTTGTTGCGACTGTGGGGTCCAAGAGGATGCCCATGCCGACATCGTCAGTAGCGAAGATCATGGACTGAACGTGCAGTCTGGGGATGCAGTTGAGTGTCATTCCAACGAGCTGTTTGAAAAAAGTTGTCTTAGAGCTCACGTCATGTCAATTTCGAAAATCTGTGAAGGCTTACCTTGGTTGTCTCCGTCACCTTGCTCAGGTATAAGTCCGACCAGCAGGACGAGCTCCACGCCGGTAAGAACGGCCCTCGAATGCTAGCGTTCATCGTGATGAACCGCTTATACTTCTTCCACAAGTCGTCCTTCCTCAAGACTTCGCCAATAGCACCCATGTCGAAGCAGGTGTTATCCCGCTTGACGATGCTAATGTTTGGCAGGTCAGGAATGGTGCTCGACGCGTTCGCATCTCCATTGAAGATGAAGACAAAGTCTGCGCCATTGTGGATACCCTTGTTGACAAAGTAATCAAGGTTTGCCCGCGCGCTCTCGGAGTCATGATACGCATACACGATGAGCGGCCGGTGTTCTGAAGACGCACTCTGTTGGTCTGGAGTTGCGGGTTTAGGCGAGGAGCCATGCGCGATGGATTCAGGGATCGCGGGCTTTTCGAGGGGGACCACCCCTGGTTAGCTGCCGGACCCAACAAACTTCGACTGTTACGGCACAGAGCACCGTAACCGCTCGCGGGGAGGAACGGGAGAAAAAACACACCAGTTGGAACGGCAGTATCCACCAGGCCGATATCAGGAAGACGGCCGTGAGAAGGCCAATCTTTAGAGGTGTCCAGTGCACCCCGAGAGACGGCATTTTCGGAAGCGCTTCGTCGTCGTGAAGAGAAGGTTTAGGGTGTATGTCGTCTAAAGAGGAAGAAGGAAACGCTTGGCCGGCTCCATGGAGATTTGGGCTCAAGATAACGTTGGAGCGGCGCGGCAGGGAAATCCGGACTGACGTGGAAGTGGATGGCATGATTGCGAGTTGCGCTTATGACTGGTCGGACAACCCCTGCCATCTGTGGATATCACCAATTATAGGACCCTTGCCCCTGATGCGGAGCGGACGGAGTGTGGGAGCGGTCGGCGCAAGCGCTCACGGATGCCGACGAGCTAAGGAGATTTTGTTGCCATCGGCGGAGACTGAGATCTTGGGTGAAACGAGTTTAGAGATCTAGACTATTCCAGTTTTAACGTACGAAAGTTGAGCTCAACACCATGAAGTTGTCGACACAAGTATCGCGACTTTTCTGGAGATACCGCAACAATCTGGCTGGCTGGGAGATTAATTCAAATTTCACGCACCCTGTTTCACACCCATGGATTATCAGGTGTTCCTCCAGGCAGCAAGTCAGATTTCAGGGCGCTTGCGTTGGTTCAGTCTGCAAATTTGGCTTGGCTGTTGGCGCCTTGCATCCTGAACTGCATAGGACCCCTGGACAGAGGCACCGAATCTGGCAGATATGTGGGGGTCACTGCGCATATTTGGCCCAGCCTGATATTCTGGCATGCAGCCGAACGAATCACGCATGGCAATATGTTGGTGTTGGTGCAAGTTGGAGTTGCTGTGCCATGATTTTGAGACGTTTCCGTCAGACCCCGGTGGTTCTGACGATCTTTGCTGGTGCTCGTTAAAGAGTTCGTCTCACTAGTCCGCTGCGCCATTGTGGTTTACCGTTTCTTTTCTCTCTGTGTTTGTCCTTCGTTGATTCCCAAATGTCAAGGCTGAGCCAAATCAATTCCGAAGTGTCTCGCGATGTCTGCAGCTCATGTAAGTCTTCAGCAACGGCCGTACAATGATTCAGTCCCGGGGTTACACAAACCATCTAGATGGTCAACTAACCTGATTTGATAACCCAGGACCATGGGAACCATTCGCATTCCCACGCCACGGAGCAACCAGGCCTAGAAGTTGTATCACACGAACAAGAGAAGTTCGCACGCACAGAAGATCCCACGTGGTCCGGACTCCAGGTCTCCAATCATTCTTATTACGAGAGCGGCAAGGAAGCAGTTTCTGACCACAACGATACCGACAAAATACACATAATTTCGGGGCAAGGCGAAGTCGCAGAGCTTGAATCTGAGCAACCAAAGCGAAGAAAACGGCTATGGCTCATCGTTGGAGGAGTCATAGTCGTTCTTGTGGTTGCAGCAGCTGTCATCGGTGGGATATTGGGAAGCAAGGCGATGAAAGCTGCGCAGGTCAGCGATTCGTTGCCCACGAGCGTGGCTAGCCCTACCAGTACACCGAATCCCACGGATGCCTCCAACACGACAACAAAATCACAATCAATACGTCAAGGATCGCCACTTACCGTCACCGGATGGAGTCAGTCTGGGGGAGTTGAACTATTTCTGTTTTATCAAGACGACGACTATCAAGTACATCGGTCGACATATGACACGACGAAGACAAGCGGCAACTCATCATGGCAGACGCCGGATAAGTTCAACTCATCTGCGGATGCAAGTGCTCGCTTGGGGGCGACTATCATTCAGTATGATGCTTCATACCAGGTGGGTAACTTTCAAGCGCTATTCTACGCGGATGTGAGTGAGCGCTAACAGGCCGGTCTCTAAAGCCGCAAACTGAGGTATTTTACACAAACGATGACGGCCGTGTTCTCGGAGTGAGCATCAACGATGCTCTGAACCCAAATTATGAAGAAGACAGCATCAAGAACATGGTGTTGAACTCCCGTGTCAATAGTAGCGTCGCAGCATATTGGCCTTGGGTTATATATCAGGAAAGCAGTGGTGGAATTGTCGAGGTGCGAAATCGCCTTAGGACTGAATTCTCGCCGGCAGCCGAGTGGGACAAGAAGAGACTCAATGTCTCTGCGGATAGTGACAGTCGGCTAGCGTTGGTTCCACTATCGGCCAACTTCAGCAAGATTGCTGTCCAAGGAGGTTATGGGATATTCTACCAGTTCAATGGAGCCTTGGTTGCGCTGATACCGGATCTTGGATCCGATGAGCTCGCTACTGATTATGCAGACTCATGGCCTACAGGTATGTTGTTGTCTTTTATTGTACTGGATGTTCATCAAATAAGCTAACCAATCAAAGACTTCCCAGCTGTCACAAATATGCCAGGAGGTGCACCCTTTTCTGCATTTTCAGTTGCCAGAAGTTCAGATACTCTGCAGAGAGTATTCACTTACGTCCTTTACCTTGACAACAATGCAAACATTAACGTCATTTACAACGATGCCTCCTCCTGGAAAACGGCTCAACCAGCTACCTTGAAGGGTGTTGACGCCGACACAGACATTACCTGCCTCACCATGGCCACGACACACCGCGACTCTTTTACACAACAAGTAGTACTTGGAGCGCAGTCTTTTGATCCAAGGTGCTACTTTCAACGTGAAGGCTTGGTCAGAGAGGTGATTCTGACTAATAATGAGTGGGTGGATAATGGAAATGTGCCGATACCGTAGGAAAGAAGGACTAGACACGTTCTTCGCGTTGTACACGTATGAAGCATTTGCTAGTAAAGGTTGATGACTGAACTCTATCTAGAAATATATTAACGAAACTCTGACTAGGATTCGGAATCAGATGGAGACACAATACTTCGATGGGAATCAAAGTTGTAGGGCTTGTTATCAATACGTTCTATCAGAGCGAAGACAAATATCAACTACATTGTTGTGTAATGATACAATTATACTTTCTCGCTGTAAACGAAACATGTAACCGAAAAACGACAAGCACATGCCAATAAGAAAAATTCATGCACATGCCGAAAGTGGACGATTGTATGAATTTCTAAAAATGAGAAAACAGTTCAAACTATCTCCATCAAATCGTGACAATAGTTTTTCATAAAATCAACAGAACTTCATTGTATGATATCTCATTCTTCCATTCCTCTTAGCCAGGGGCTGTATCTCTGAAATAACAGTTGAGTGTACGTGACGCATTCTCCTCTAGTCGAAATAACCCAAGAACACTGGATTGAA